GGGGGCTTCTTCGGGGCCCCCCTAGGGGCCTCCTGGGGGGGCCCCCCTGGGGGGCCCCCCTGAGTAGTCCCAGAGGCACCTGGGAGCCACCCAGATATAATTCGGGTCCAAATAGGGAGGCCCTCGGGGGCCTCCTCTGCTGCTGGGGGCCCCCCGGGGGGCCCCCCTCGGGAACCCCCCTGGGGGCCCCCGGGGGCCCCCTCCTCTCCATCTTGTTCCGAATAAACCCATGGGGGGGCCCCCCTGGGGGGCCCCCTGGGGGCCCTTTGGGGTTCTTTGCGGCCTATGATGGCTTTGGGCCTGCAGCAGCCAACAGGTGTACATACACCTCAAAGTCTTCTACTTTCTTTTTAGTTTTGCAAACAGCATTTAACACCTAGGGTTTGTGTTTAGGGTTTAGGGTTTAGGGTTTAGGGTTTAGGGTTTAGGGCGCACTGGTGCTCCACAGGGGCCCCGCTGTACTTCTGGTGTAAAGTCCGGGGGGTCAGCTCGGGCTGCTTGAGGGGGTCAGCAAGGCCTGCAGCCAAACCCTAAACCCTAAACCCTAAACCCTAAACCCTAAACCTTAGGTCACACTGCACTGAAGTCAGCGTTAATGGCTGAATCCAAACACTACGGGCGCCAAGGCTCTGTGCCCACCAAACCTTAAACCCTAAACCCCAAACCCTAAACCCCAAACCCTAAACCCTAAACCCTCAACCCTAAACCCTAAACCCTAACCGTCTTGAATCCAGTCTCCGTAGCGGCAAACCCCTCTGAGCCTTTTGGCCTCATCGGCGTAAACATCTCTTTGGAAGTGCAGCGCGTCCAGTTCTGTCTGCAGCAAGCTGCAGCAAATAAATAAATTAAAAAAAATAATTAAATAATAAATAAACAAATAAATAATAAATAATAAATAAATAACAATGGTGATGATATGAAAGGGAGTGGGAGGGGAAAAAGAAATTCGAGGAGGAGAGGCGGAGGGAGGCGCTTCGCGCACTAAACCCTAAACCCTAAACCCTAAACCCTAAACCCTAAAGCCTGGTTACTAGATGATCTTTTTGAGTTCTTTGACTTGGCCCATGAGTTTTGACTCCGCGAAGCCTGAAGGCACCGCACGACTCCAGCAGCGGCTAAATTAGGGTTTGGCGCCTGCTGCCTAGGGTTTAGGGTTTAGGGTTTAGGGTTTAGGGTTTGGGGTTTAGGGCTGAGGGTTTGGTCACCCTGGGCCTCGAGAACCATCGCGTCGTAGCCGAGAGAAAGCTCGTCGAGCTGCCGCTGCAGCATCTTTTCCGTTTTCTGCAATCGCAGCAGCAGCAGCAGCAGCAGCAAGAAGAAATGAAGAAAAAGAAAAAAGAAACAAAAGAATTGTTTTTAACTCACTTGAATTCTCCTGCAGTCTTCTTGAAACTCCAACAGCCGCAAATCTAAACCCTTTTTCAGCAGCAGCAAATCTTCGCTGAGGGGCCCCTGAGGGTTTGGGGGGGCCCCCAGCAGCGCAGCAAGTTGTTCTTGGTCTGCCTGACGCCACAAAACCCTAAACCCTAAACCCTAAACCCTAGACCCTAGAGCCTCTGCTCTGCGCTTGTAAACACTGTCCTCACATGCTGCGCCCCGAAGCCGCAGAAACGCTGCAGCACACTCTATGGCTTCCCATCAAGGGTTTAGGGTTTAGGGTTTAGGAGCTAGGGTTTAGGGTTTAGGGTTTACGAGAAGCATAGTGTGCGCCGCGTTGAGCTCAACGAGCTGCTGCTGATACTGCAGCAAAAAGACACAAACAGCAGCACAGCAGCAGTTTAAGGGTTTAGGGTTTAGCGTTCAGCCTCAAGTTTAGGGTTTAGGGTTTAGGGTTTAGGACTTTTAGGGGCATTTAACAGCAGCTGCAGCCCAGGGCCAGAAAAAAGAATAAAAATAAGACAAAAAAGAGTGACAGGGGCAGCCGATGAACGAAACACAAACCCTAAACTCTAAACCCTAAACCCTAAACCCTAAACCCTCGAATGAAACAAAGAACCTTTTCTCTTTCAAAACAAAAGAGCAATTAAAACCCACCAAATCCATTAACGCCGAAACCCTCGCGTTTACTTCCACCAGCTGGGGGGCCCCCAAATCATTTGGGACCCCTAGGGAGCCTCCGGGGGCCCCGAAAGGCCCAGAGGGCCCCAGGTGGGCCCCCCCTGGGGCCCCCGGGGGCCCCAAGGGGGGCCCCCCT